TCACAGTGCCTAGGGAGATATCAACTATGCCTCACTGATGATGCCTAACAAGGCTGAAACGATCGTCTGGGGTTGCTGTATCTCTCGTGCAGAGAGAACTTGCTGGCATTTCGGATCTGGACTGCCCGTATGGGTGGGACCAGTCTGATATGCTTCAGATATATTCTCTCTGTAATGGCACAAGTTGAGCTAAAACCAGCTTGAGTTCTGAGCGGGGACCCACCGAAGGGCAGGCTATTTTAGCTGCTGTCCGTCCTCAGAATACTCTTGCGACCCATTTTTTGCTCTCCATTAGTTTAAAGGGTAATCCAGACGTGGACCCCTTGCTCATGGTGCCTAGAGAGAAATCAGCTATGCCTCACTGACGATGCCTAACAAGGCTGAAACGATCATCTGGGGTTGCTGAATCTCTCGTGCAGAGAGAACTTGCTGGCATTTCAGATCTGGACTGCCCGTATGGGTGGGACCAGTCTGATATGCTTCAGATATGTTCTCTCTGTAATGGCACAAGTTGAGCTAAAACCAGCTTGAGATCTGAGCGGGGACTCACCGAAGGGCAGGCTATTTTAGCTGCTGTCCGTTCTCAGAATACTCTTGCGACCCATTTTTTGTTTTTCGTAAGGCGTTGGCAAGGTTGGGAGTGGACCCGGGCCAATTCGGGACACATTCTTTCAGCATTGGTGCGGCTACTGAAGCAGCGAGACTAGGCTTGGGTGACAAACGGGTGAAGAAGATTGGCAGGTGGGAGTCGCTGAGGTTCAGGTCTTACATTAGGCCAGACAAGTTGGTTTAAGGTGGAGGATGGTTAATGGGGAATGTTGGTTGGTGGTTGTTTTGTGGTTGTCTATGTTTGCTTTATGTTTTACAGGTTGGGTGGCATGGGTGGTCGGCCACTCATACGTACAATGGGTGCAACGGAGAGCTGCAGTTCGACGTCACGGTCTACAGCTGGGCTTTCCAAGTTCTGTGGTGCAGCTTCAGTGGTTTGGTTACTGGGGCTGGGGTTGGAATGTTATATGTGGGGAAATGTTTCACAAAATTCTTTTGGGACAGATTCCGGACATAGTGGTGCTTCACACAGGGGGCAATGATGTGGGGTCGTTACCTCAAAAGGTTTTGCTCGAGTGTATGAAGAGGGATGTGGATAGGTTAAGGGAGTTAGTGCCAGGAGTTATGGTAGTATGGTCGGAAATGGTTCCGAGGTTATACTGGTGGCACCCGCAGAATCTCTCCGCGGTGGCAAAGATTAAGGGTAAGGTGAAGCGGTCAGGGGGGGTTGTGATCAGACACAGGGAGTTGGAAGACATGCTCCCAGGTTATTATAGTAGTGATGGGGTCCATCTGTCCAATGTGGGTTTGGACTTTTTGTTGCTGGGTTTCCAGGAGGGCCTCCAGAGGGCGTTTTTTCCCCTGAGGGGGGTGTCGCTCAGGATCTTGAGGAGTCGAGCTCTGAGCTGTGGCGGGGGATGGAGAGTAAAGTTGGGGGAGAAAAGAGTGAGATGGGGAAAAAGTTTGGAGTTCAGGGCTAATAGGTAGGCATTTGGACTGGTTTGGTAGGTTCGAGCTCGTAGTTATCTCTGAACCGGGGTGTGTATGGGGTGTCTCGGAATGCCCCTACACTTGTGGTGCCCTTTGGTGGCAATGGATGGTGCCCTTCGGTGGCAATGGTCATGTTTCATGTTAAATAAAATGTTCAATGTTTGGGTATTATGTTGTGGGGGTGGGTCATTGTCAAGGGGTTAATTTGTAAAATGCAGGATGTTAATTGTGCAGGCCAACATTGGCCTGCTGTTGACAATGACCTTTAAATATATGTTAATTACAAATAAAGCTGTGATATAATTTTGCCAAAACCATGGTGTCAGTGCTTTATTGGGGATTGGGGATTTGGTGGGGGTTGTTAAGCAGAGGCCGACAAGGCGACTGTGCCCATGTCATGTAGCCCATGGAGCAGGGTAGCTAAGGGGAGTGGGCCTTGACATTGCCAGGAGACAGGCCATCTAAAGGTCAGTGGTCAGGGATTGGTCATTGGAAATGGTGGGGTGGAGTTTTAAAGGGGAGTATGTCAGGATACTGACAGGGATCCAATACGCAGAGTGCGGACAGAAGGAGGTACGTATACCGGACCTTAGAATGGCCGGACTAACGTAGGGACAAAGCAAGAATAGTCAAAAGGTAAGCCGAGGTCGAGGGAGCCGGAGGACAGGTAAGCGAGATACAAGCCGAGTCAAAGGAGAGGAGAGGACAACAGGACAAAAGACAAGCAAGGGTCAAAACCAGAAACACAAGATAAAGAACGCGCTGAGTGACTAGCAAGCTAGAACCACGACAGGGCAATGAGCAGTAGTAAAGGTTTCCTTTAAATACCCTGTTACCTAAATAGAGACCACGCCCCCAAAAGGTCCGGAATAGCGGTTCCCGGCACTTTATGTAAATGCCGACGTCATGACGTCGACGCTAGCTGTCGCGTCATAAAAGGGGGAGGAGCTAGCGCGGCCGGCGCGAAAACGGCCGGAATATGCCGAAATGCTAGGGGCAGGGAGCCCCTAAACAGAGAGGATGTCTTCCCTGGATTCAGCACCAACAGGTACCCTGACAGTACCCCCCCTTCTAGAAACGCCCACCGGGCGGATGGGACCGGGCTTAGAAGGAAAACGAACGTGGAAGGCCCGAAGAAGACGAGGAGCATGCACGTCTATACCAGGAACCCAAGACCTCTCTTCTGGACCATAACCTTTCCAGTCTATGAGGTATTGCAGCTTCCCCCTAGAAATACGAGAATCAAGGACGGACTTGATGATATATTCCTCCTGACCATCCACATGGACCGAGGATGGAGGAGCAGAGCGGGAGGAAAATCTGTTACAAACAAGAGGTTTCAATAAAGACACATGAAAAGAGTTAGGGATGCGTAGAGTAGGAGGCAGATCCAGCAAATAAGAAACCGGGTTGTTCCTCCTCAGCACCCTGTAAGGACCAATGTAACGAGGAGCAAACTTCAAGGAAGGAACTTTCAGGCGAATGTGTCTGGTACACAACCAGACCCTATCACCCGGAGAAAAAATAGGAGCAGGCCGCCTACGCCTATCAGCATGTGACTTAAACACCGCGGAACTACGTTCAAGAATTTGTCGAGTCTGATCCCACAACCTTCTCAGGTTGGCTATATGAATATCAACCGACGGTATACCCTGGGAAGGAGACACCGACGGAAGAACAGTAGGGTTAAAGCCATAGTTCAAGAAAAAGGGGCTATTATGAGTGGAACCACAAACAAGGTTGTTGTGAGCAAACTCCGCCCAAGGAATCAGACCGACCCAGTCATCCTGGTGTTCAGAAACAAAACAACGTAGATATTGCTCAATTTTTGGTTAGTGCGTTCGGCTGCTCCGTTAGATTGAGGATGATAGGCCGAAGAAAAATTCAGTTTGATGCCCAACTGTGAACAGAAGGATCTCCAAAAACGGGAAATAAATTGGGAACCCCTGTCTGACACAATCTCATTGGGAATACCATGTAAACGGAAAATTTCTCTAGCAAAAATCACGGCCAGTTCAGGAGAGGACGGAAGTTTGGGCAAGGGAATGAAATGAGCCATTTTAGTAAACCTGTCAAGGACCGTGAGAATAACCGTATGCCTACTGGAAGCTGGTAGATCAACAATAAAATCCATAGCCAAACAAGCCCAAGGTTTGTTGGGAACGACTAAGGGCTGCAATAAACCACAAGGGAGATCCCGCGGAAGTTTATTCCTGACACAAACATTGCAAGCCTTGACAAAGTCTTCCACATCCCTACGTAAACCAGGCCACCAGAAGTCTTTGGAGATCAGGCAGTAAGTTTTGTGGATGCCGGGGTGACCAGCGAACTTGCTATCGTGAAAACAGCGAATAATGTCCACTTGGAATTTGGGAGACACGAACAAGCGGCCCACAGGAGTACGTTCGGGAGCAAGAGATTGTTCGTTCATAATATCAGCGAGCAATGGAGAGTGTATTTTGACATTGGTGTTGGCGATAATATTGACTTCAGGAATAATAGGGAACAAAGTGTCCTCTGTAGAGGTGATAGGTTCGTGCTGACGTGACAAAGCGTCTGCCTTAGTGTTCTTAGAACCAGGCCTGTAAGTAAGCATATAATTAAAGTGTGTAAGGAACATAGACCAACGTGCCTGCCTGGCAGATAATCTTTTGGCCTCCCC